CTTTAGCTATACATGAACAGAAACCTAAATTATGTGTTCAAAAGCGTTTTGTCAAACCCCTTTTTTTACCTTGGTCATAATAATGTTCTTTCTAGGTTTTATTTTATTTTACCACTTGAATTCTTTCCACTTAACTTCACATCTTCATTCTTAACGTAAGCGTACTGCTAATTTTCAAAATTTTCAGACAACATTTGACATTTTTGTAATTTATCCACTTCAACTCTATTCCTTATAACTTTTATCACATATATCCGTACATTGACTGAGCAATTATTTAGTGCCACTTAATAACCTTTTTCTGTAATATAAATACGACTGTACAGCTTGAAAATGAAGTCATTGAAAAGAAATTTCTTCGCTGAACAAAAAACTGTGTTTTTACATAGCGCAACCCCTAGCCAATGTCTTTGGCGAGTATGTGTCCTCACACCCGACCCGCTGCACCCTACTGGTCACGACTTCCCACTAGAACCCAGGTAACTACCTACCTGAATAGGGCCAGTCGCCAGTGATCATCCCATTGGTATTCAAGCGTTGGTTTGTAGGGATTTGATTGGTTTCAGGAGTTCATCATGAGCTGACATTAGTTAGAGAACCATTGGAAAACCTGGGAGTACCGGACAGCTGTTTCGTCCAAGGCGAGCTCGCCTTGTAACCGGAAGGTCTTGGGTTCGAATCCCGGTGGGTGCGTACTACTGAAATGTCCCAAACTATGACGAAACAACTGTCCAGTAATCCCAGGTTTTCCAATGGTTCTCTTACTAATGTCAGCTCATGATGAAATCCTGAAACCAATCAAATCCCTACAAACCAACACTTGAAGATCCATAAGTACTTCTGGAACTAGATCAGTAAATGCTCAACTGCATATGAAATGTGGGTTTTTCTTCAGTGTCATTACTATTCATCTGTAAAACACCCTATAACTGTAAGCTGGTAGTACGAAAAATTCACACACCACAGTAGGAATCTTCATTTCATGATGAAGATTAGCTAGTAGTACGTCTAAATAATTCGTATGGAAATTGGTCCAAAACTGCAGCTCTGATTCTCTGGAAGAAGAATTACACGTTTTGAAAGAAATCTTCGTGCAAAGGACAAGATCTCGGATCTGACCACTTCTGTATGCATATATCAGCTCATCTGTTGTTTTGGAGCTAGGTATATTGGTCTTTCGATGCAGATCCTGCCTAAAAGAGCTTCAGGAACACTGTCCTGCTCGGTTGGAGAAAGGTATCAGTGGCTCTACAGAAGAAGTGCAATGATTGAACACCTTGTAGACACTGGTCACTCTATCTCGGTGATGTGCAAAGGGAAAAGCGACCTGCTTAAGACGACCCATTTTCGCCTTGTTTGAACTGCTGTAACTCCTCTAGCGATCCAGATAGATAAACCGGAGTTACACACACAAAAGAGAATCTTTCATCCACTTGTACTATCATGATAAGGTTCCTATTATTATTGTCGACCTAACCGCTTTACTTATTTTACTGCTCTGATCCTTTATGACTCGTCTTTGCTCCAGAACTCTTAGGTAATGTGAAATTCCCTTCGTTATTATGTGGAACCCGATTACAGCTCACGCAATTCTATCAGCCTTATTCAAATTCTCATATGTATTGATTACTAATATTGGCGACTATCCTTATAATGATTTATCCCTTTCTTCCTATTCACTTTCATGAGGAAAAACAAATTGTATATAAGTGCGATTGTACAGCTGAAGAAGAAAAGGAATTCATCAGTGGACACCAATCCTCCAACGACAGCAGAAATCCTACATGCGAGGAAGCTACTGAACGCCAGCTGGAAAGGCAGCAGTGCCACACGGAATTCCCTCACTCCAAAGCACTGAAAAAGAACCAATAGACTGCGGCAGATATATTCGCGCAATTATTGTAAAAGATTCGGAAGGAAGGAAAGGTACCTACTGATTGGAAGAAAGCCCAGCTACCAAAGAAGGGTAGCTTACGCATCTGCAACAACTGGCGTGGAATAATGCGGTTGTCCAAGCCGAGTAAAATACTAAGTCACATCATCCTGGAGAGAATAAAAGATGCACTAGGTACAGAAGTCTGCCCGCCGGAACGAGCTGGATTCAGGAAAGTCAAATCATGTGCTCATCGCATTGCAACTCTACGCGTCATCATCACAGAACAAAGCATAGAATGGCAATCAAATCTCTACCCCAACTTCATCGACTTAGAAAAGGCCTTCCACAGACAGCGTTAACCGGAATTGATTTGGAAACTAATTCAACACTACGGCATGCAGTGTCCAAGTCTTTGTCGACCTCATTCAACAGCTATATGACTATCTCATGTGTCAAGTGATCTACAACGGAAAACTCATCGAGGCGTTCGAAGTACATTCAGGAGTCAGGTAAGGCTGACTACTATCACCAATGATATTCCTAGTTGTGGTGAACTGAATTATGCGACAAAGCGTACATGTAGAGTAAGAAGACAGGAATACGTCAGACCGATAAGAAGACTCCAGAAGATCTGGATTTCGCTTGTGGATGATTTATGTTTAATGTCACACAAACTCGAAATCTTACAGGTGAAAACCAACAAACTGGCTGAACAGGCAGGCAGCGAAGACAGGATTCCAAGTGAACATATCGAAGTGATGAAGATACCCACGCACCAACACCACCAATAACAACCAGCACCTAATGACCATCAACGGAAGAGATTTGACGGAGGTTAATTTCTTCACTTATCTGACTAGGAAGCACGGTTTCAACAACAGGCGATAACACGGATGAAGATGTCAAATGCTGATGCAACTTCCCTCACTCTGATGAAATCAACTTTGTTAAGTATGCCGACGATCTGACTATTTCAACGTCTATTAACTCCCAGCTAGACTGTACTAAGATGAACAGCTTTCTATCAGGAATTAGCAAATGGTCTTCGTGTAACGGCCTTAAACTAAATCCTTCCAAATGTCAGACTGTTAATTTCAGTTTCCGATACAAAAAAAGTTAAATGACGCTGTTAAACCCTATGACAATTGCAAAATTGATGATAGTGATATAGAAATCAAATCTGAAGTTAAGTATCTTGGATTAATTCTTTCTTCTGATCTATCCTGGTCTTCCTATGTCTTAGTGATTTCTAAAAGAATATTTCGTCTGACTTTTTACATTAAGAAGAGGTTAAGGCACTCAGGCATAACCCAACTCCTCCTCCTCTTACCTTTCGTCAACTTGTGTATCCTACCTATTCTTCTTTACTGTTCACCCCTGCTTATTCTTTCCTGGATTGCTTAAAAAAGACTATGTCATACTTCGTAGAACTCTGAAGACTGTCAGTCAGTAGGGCGAGTGGTATTCCATTGGGCCATATCGTTGACATTGTCACTGAAAGGCACTTGATGTCAATGAACAAATTTGGCAAAGGAATTTTGTCTGACCCACTCCACCCCCAGCTCCAACCTTGTGTCTCACCTCAGGTAAAACAAGAAGTCCTTTTAGGAGAATTTACGCACGTAGTCTAAGTATAAAAATTCCACTATACCTATTTAGAACGTACTTTATGTGATAAAAATAGCGTCAGGCATAAACTAACTAACCTTCTTTGCACTACCAAATAAACCATTTCTTACACCCTTACAGTACAAAACTTTATTGTTATTGTATTTCTTATATTTATAATCCTCTCAATTTTTTGTTTTTATTTATTTATTTTTCTTAATTTGTGTTACCCTGTTAATCTTGTATTTCCCCTCACCATGCTGCTATATCAACAGAACACTAGATTCAATACTCTATAGTAACATGCTAAAATTTTCAAACTGAATCGACAATACAGTTTGAAACAAACTCACTGTTATTATTATTAATATTTAATGATCTCAATTCGTGCTTAGAATATTTTTGACTTTATATCGTAAGCGTGGACTAATTCCTCTGGTTACTTGTCTTAATTTTTAATTTTATTTATATTTAAGTAAATCAGATGCGATATTGTGACAATTGCTGCGAATTCGATTCTGTATTATAAGTACTGTTTTTGGAATAAAGTAAATTATTATTATTAAAAAAATAAGTGAAGCTGTCAACACCTCCACCAATTCACTCCTTCCCATCTTTAAGACAACCAGGAGTCGATGTAGTCCAGTCCTGTAGGATCATCCTGCATTTGATAGGAACCAATCACACACCAAACATTCGAACGTCGTTGCTCAAAGTGTTCAGAAGTCTCTGTGATTTATCAGCGTCTTCACCTAGAAGAACTATATCATTCGAATATTCAAAGTCAACGAGATTATTCCCTCCCTGTTGGTAACAAGTCAATTCCTGATTGACTGAAGTCAATCAGAGTCAATATCCTAGTACATCTATGATGAATTTTAAAGAGAAATGAGGACAGTAGGCATCTGTCGCTGATGGACACCACTGGTTGTCACCACTTCATATGACAACTCGCCATAAGCTCTTAATTGGCTGTCTCCGCGAGTTCAAGTAGAGTGCCTTGACGATATGATGTATGTCTTCGACACTCCCTTCACAACCAAACATTGCCATAGTACCTCTCGGACGTTGGAATCGAATACACAGAACACAATAACTATACATGATTATCTTTCATTATTCATTGTTAATATTCACATAACATTCCATACCATCCGTTGATTTCAGTAATATATTATGCAATTTAGCCTAGCCAATATATATAGGTAGACAGATAAAATATCATTTCAAAAATAAATATAGAAAGTAGGCATAAGAAGTACCTGACATCACAAATACTAATGTGAATATACACACCAGAATAAATACACCTGAAGTCATTCAAAATTACACTGAATAAAAATAAATTTTGAAAAACAAAACAGGGGAGATCTTAGGGAATACAAAAAAAGAAGAGCAATGACAAGTTGACGAATCAAATACAACATCTTGTAAGTCAAATAGGTTAATAAAGCTCAGTGAGAAATGCACAAAGAAAAATACTTCAAAAGTCTCAATTTCGATGAAAATAGGCGTTATAATAATAATAATAATAATAATAATAATAAGTAGGTACTGTGAATCACCGAATAAAAATTTATATTATCACTTCCTGCCTCGTTCCGCCTGATTTGTACGGAATTGTGTATGTAGCCTACGATCGATGACTCTTGAAGAAAATATCATCTTCCTATGATAGTGTACAGTCCAGAGGACAACAAAATAGTCTTCTACGCTGACTAGGCGTAGAAAGGTTTAAATTCCAATCATCATCCCACTCGTCACCAGGATTCCCTGCTGCAGCTGACAAACCATTACGATTAGTTCGATCACGTTTTAAAACATCATGTAAACCATTATTGGAGACTTTTTGAAAAAGTGCACCGTCAAATTCTTCACTGCATGAAAAAAAAACCCAAAAAGTCAACTATAAAAGAAGGGGGACATCTTATCAGGAAAATACAGACAGACATAAAAAAATCCAAAAACAAAAAGAAACACTTGCTTAGTGACTGACAGCGCCACAATTAACTGATAATGTCATTGGGAATGGTAATCAAGGCACTCTACACGAACTAATGCAGCCAATCAGGTAAGGGCTTATGGCGAGTTGACATCTGAAGTGGTGACAACCAGTGGTGTCCATCAGCGACAGATGCCTACTGTCCTCATTTCTCTTTAAAATTCATCATAGATGTACTAGGAATATTGACTCTGATTGACTTCAGTCAATCAGGAACTGACTTGTTACCAACAGGGAGGGAATAATCTCGTTGACTTTGAATATTCGAATGATATAGTTCTTCTAGGTGAAGACGCTGATAAATCACAGAGACTTCTGAACACTTTGAGCAACGACCTTCGAATGTTTGGTGTGTGATTGGTTCCTATCAAATGCAGGATGATCCTACAGGACTGGACTACATCGACTCCTGGTTGTCTTAAAGATGGGAAGGAGTGAATTGGTGGAGCGTGTTGACGGTTTCACTTATTGTTTGTGAAGTTGCGTCAGCCAGGCCCAACGGGTCGGACGCTGACGAAATCCCTGCACGGATACAAAGGGCTCGTTTGAAATTTGCCAACTTACGCTATCTCTGCCGCAGACATGATATCCGACTGGTTATCGATCAAAGGACGTGTATACTGCTCAGTAACAGTTCGCCTCCGTCCTCCTTTATGGCTGCCATTGAAAATGAAAGAAATGAAAAAGGCTGGCTAGCTATCTTCGATCATGTGTCCGTGTTGTCTCTCCCATGTTAGGTGGTAGGTGTAATAGGGTAACTAATATTGAGGTTGGGCTCAGGTCGATTGTTAGGTAAGGAGGGAAAGTCAATTGATGAGGTTTCGAAGCTGCATCGACTGAGATGGTTAGGATATGTTTTACTCTTGGATGTCTAGCCATCGCCTTCCTGGACGGGAAATGTTAGCTCACATAGGATGAGGTTGGTTGGAAAAGAGCCAGTTGTGGTCAAATCAAAATATGCTATTTGTTCATGAAATCCTCAACAGTTGATTATAGCCAACACGTCAGAAAGATGCAAAATGCTTGGTTGAAGTCCTCAGGATGGTAAGAACCAATGAAGGCTGGAGACAGTTGGCGATAATGCCTCGATGATAGCACATTGACTCTTTGTAATTTCTAATATCCAAAGAAACTGTATTGTTGTTTCATATTACTATTTTTCCCTCACTCACACTTTTGTTTATTGTCTCTCTCTTTTGAACCACTTTTTACTCTCTTCTCTTGATTTGTGTGGTCTCTGTCTGTCTGGGTTCAACATAGAACTTGGCACCGAAGTGCAGAAGTTCCAGTTGCCACGTTCCAAATACCACACAAAGGCAGACAAGAAGATGAGTGAAGACAATCAATAGAGTTTGACAAGTATAAGAATGAAACAGAATGGGTAATGGTAGAAAGAAATATGAAAGATTACAGAGACTGAATACATCTGCGCCATTGACAACGATTTTGAGCCATGTCACCTATTGTCTCCAGCCATTGATTCCTAGAGTCAGTCCCGAGGGCCCCAACCCGGAAGTCTGCATCTCCCTCCATACCTGACTCAGTTTAACTGTCAAGGATTTCATGGATTGATGAGGCCATGTTTTTGTTTGGCCACCACTTACTCTTTCCCAACCTGCACCTATCTATATCAGCTAGTAATGCCCGTCGTCGGGGGAGGCGATGGTTAGGCATGCGCAGCACGTGACCTAGCCATCTTAGTCTATGTAACATTATAGCCTCGTCGATTGATTTTCCCTCTTTGCCCAACACTCTACGCCTAACGTCAACATTACTTAGCTTATTATACCACCTAACGTGAGACAGAGATCGCAGACATCTATGATCGAAAGCAGTCAACCTTTTCATGTCTTCAACTCGTATTGGTCATGTTTCAGAGCCATAGAGAAGGACGGAGCGAACTGATGAGCAGTACACACGTCCCTTGGTTGATAGCCGGATGTCACGCCTACGCCAGAGATGGTGTAAGTCAGCGAAAGCAGCTCGAGCTTTTTGGATCCTTTCTGAGATTTCGTCGCCAATCAGTCCGTTGGTGCTGATACAACTTCCCAAATAGGTAAAGTGGTCAACATGTTCTATCACTTCACTCCCCCTATCACTAAGCTAGGAGTTGACGTGGTCCTGTCCTGTAGCAGCATCTTACATTTTACAGGGACGAATCGTATGCCAAACATACGAAGATTGCTGCTCAAGGTGTTCAGAAGACTCTGCATTTTGTCAGCATCCTCCCCTAACAGGACTATGTCATCTGCACATTCTAACTCCATAAGACTATTCCCTGGCAACAAATCGATTCCTAAGTCGTTACGTTGACTTAAGGATACTTCCATCAGCATATCTATGATGAAGTTAAACATAAATGGGGAGAGTGGACATCCCTGTCGGACACCACTGGTTGTTATCAATTCAGATGACAATTCCTCATAAGCCCTTTCACGGCTACATGAGTTTGAATAGAGTGCCTTGATTAGTGCAATGTACTTTCTAATCAAGGTTTGTGAGGTACATGCAGTATAGCAGTTACAACTCATACATATTTGTGCAAGGTTCTATGGTGAAACTTACTTACTTTACTTCGGCTATCTCCTACGGGAGGATGAGCCGGCTTCATGAACATCTCGAATCATCGCTGCCCAGGCGCGGCAATTTGTAAGAGAGTTCATGAAGTTTCATGGGAATTTGGTACGAGTGATGTCCCCAGCATCGCTCGGCCTTTTTTTGAGAGTGCAGCTCTAGCCTTTACACAGCCAAGTGTGACCTACAAGGCAGTAGGAGTGGAGTAAGGAGTCCACTATCCATTGGCAGCCGGTGACCGGAGTTCGGTTCATACGCCTTTTTGAATGGGGCCAGACATCCAGGGCATCCAATAAGCCCTTTGTCCATACGTCTGCCGGTGAGCTCCAGTGAGCTTCATACGCCAGTCGTTGGAGGTTTGGAATCAGGGTTTAGCCATCTCCCCTAGACCGTCATCCAATGGACAGTCAACCCGGTGGAGAGCGCCGGGCATCCGCTTTCGCCCTCTTACTTTGGTGAGAAACACCTCCGCCACGTGAAGGCAGTGAGTAGGACTTCCTCAGGAGAGGCTATGTAAGACGCCCGGTCATATGGGAGCATTTCAAGAGGTGTGCGGAGGGGTGGCCAACCCGCAGCGCAAGGCACCCACCCCCGACCATCCTGAGGCTTTGGAGGCCATATGGTGAAACGAGTCAGTCAGTTAGTCAGTTGGCTTTTAATTTTCAAGTCTTCTGATCAGTGTAGATTAGTTTACTTTAAAATCAGTCAAATTCCAACAAACACGTGAATATTGTCAAATAAAATTAAAAGCAACCGGACAAGCTACTTAAATAAAAATCAGTAGAATTATTAATATCATCAAAATAATTTTTAAAAAATAGAACCCCAATGATTAAGAAACAAACCTTTCTTCATCATCACAATCCACAGTGATCAGCGGCATATGTTTTGTATAATCATACTTTCGCCAAAATTGATTTGACGTGTCACTTTTAGGGAAACGCAGTTTATCTTTTGGTAAAAGTTTATATCGTCTTGGTTGTTTTGGTCGAACAACTGTAATCGATGGAATGTGGGAATTATTCTGATTCCCCTCAGAATCAGTTAGTGGAGATTTATCAGTAGTACAGTCCATAACCACAGATAGAGTAGGTTGGATAGGAAACTTGATGATGATGACAAGCGATCTTTATTGTTTTAAATTATAAAATATTTAAGGAAAAATATGCATGACAAAAAAGTTTTGGTAGTAAAATAACAATTACAGAATATATTACTTAGTAATTAAATGTTCACGATGCACATTTAGAAAGGATCGGGTCCCAGTGACTCAATGGTCTACGAGCTCACCTTGTAACCAGAAAGTCCTGGGTTCAAACCCCGGTGGGTGCGTACCGATGAAGAGTCCCAAACTAGGATGAAACAGCTGTCCAGTACTCCCAGGTTTTCCAATGGTTCCCTAACTAATGTCAGCTCATGACGAAATCCTCCATACAATAATGGAATTATATAAACGAAGTTAGAAAACTGTGTGAGTAACTTCATATGATTATGAGCGGCAATAAATTGTGCTTGATACGTCATCAACGAATATTACTGTAAAACACTGTGAGACTTTATCAAAATAAATTTTACCCATAATGGAATCAACAGCTAACTTTACGCAACTGCACAGCTTATACGCTCGACTTCTACTCTAGAGCACTTACCATAAACCAACAAGTGTTCCTGAAGACCTGGGCTTTTTGCTTTGTTTAAAGTCTCCCCCTGAATCTACCGAAATGGTACCAAGTAATTTTTTAAAAATCACTCCATTGCGTAATACTATTACCTACTACATTTACTTCCAAGTAAACCAAGGATCTATTACCGGCAAATCTAACTCATTTTATTTTGAGGAAGAGCGAGCTTAGATTCGGCATTCGGACTCCAATATTGGTCTTTTAAATTAAATGATTAAAAACACCTATTTTCCGACCTGATTTCTTCTTTTAATAAATGAGGCAGCGATCTGAGATTCCGAACACACCATTCTATATAAGTGTAACAGAAATACAATCTCAAGGAAGGGTGGTAATAATTGAGCTATATTTATTCTAGGGTTGAAATTATTTCTCTATTACTATCACAATTTACATATCGGGAAATCTTTCTCAGAAAAAATCTGTGTAATTTAACTGCTGTTATGTATATGTTTTAAAAGATAAATTTGTATCGCTCATATTAAAAATATTAGTTTGAGGTACAATGTACGCTGGAATTATTCATATTTCTGAAAATCCAACGACGTTGATGAATGCCAGGTTACATAATAATGCCAAGCTTTTGTCTAGAATATAAAAAAAGTCAAATACATTTCTTTCCTTTTTTAATTTAGACGTAAATAGATTTATGTTTTGCAGCTAACTCCTCCTTTATATTTGTTCGACGGAGAAGATAAGGACGACAATGATACACTGATGTTGCAAGGAGACCTCAGCAAATTGTTGGAGTGGCCGAAGGAATGGATGATCCCGATTAAAGTACAGAAATGAACAACCATGAGCATTTGACACGCAAGCGTCAACTCTACGAATTAGGGGGAATAACAATTCCATAAGTTGAGATTAATTTGGATCTGGGTGTCATAGTAAGTCACGACTTAAAAGCTACAGCTCATTGTCACGCGGTGGCAGCACGTGGTTTTAGATTTCTATGGGCAAGACGCAGAGCCTTTACTAGAATCACCAGAGATATGTTCACCTCTTTATATACACATCTGGTGAGGTCAAGACTAAAAGAATGTATCCAGGCAGCCAATCCTCTTAATGAGGACTCACACATTCTAGAAAGGGTTCAAAAGAATGAAGCGGGTGTAATTCTCAGCATAACGAATTTACCATACGATTAAAGACTATACAGTTTGAATCTCTTCTCCCTGTCATAGTGTAATAGGCACGGAGGAGATCTAATTACAATATTTTGAAATTTTAAATCATGACAACGGATTTGATCTATTCACTCTTTTTCTTCCCACTGAGTCAGGACACATCAGGGGATATAGCAGGACAGTTCAGAAGCTGTGCAGTACTGGTTCTTATATCGAGTCATCAACTCTTGGGACCGACTCCAAAATGGAGTGGTATCAGAGACCTCAAATGACTCATTCGAGAAACGTTTGAACAAGTACAGAAATTTACTAGAAAAGGACTAACATAGGCTTCAAACCTCTTATCTTCGATCAACAAATGTGTGGGTTTTGCTACAAAACTACTCATATCCTTCGTGCGATTATCTTATAAACCAAATACAACTACACAATCAATAATGTCCTCTAGTGTTTCACAGGCTAGTTCATTATACAAGCTAGTATTTTACATCTCAGTAAAATTTTTATTTCACATTAACTCATTCACTCCAGATTAGAAACTTAACATTCCCTAAAGGCCAAACTTATATCAAGGACACGAAGTCTACATATTGTGACTATTTAGCTTACATCACAAATAAAGGAATTTGGAGTTTTCCGGGGAAACATTTAGGGGAAGAAAGATGCATTGCCACGGTGTTTTCACTGTGTCACATTATAATCGCCAAAAATAATCCCAAAACGTTTTCTTTGGGTGCTCTTAAGCATATTCAATGATCAAATTTTTTTGATTTACAGCTTGATTCCACACTGTATTTTCGGTAAAAGTATGGAATTTTCAGCATGGATATCGGTAGCCCAAATTTTGCAGGCCGGCCATAGATATCAGGTGTGCGTCGGTGCGGGCTCGAACCCCGGACCATGTGCATGGTCGGCGAGAGTCCTAACCACTGTGCCACCGACGCACACTGATTTCCGATAGATAATATGAGTTCTTAGCAAGTAAATTAAAGTTAAAGGACACAGAAGTAAGTTAAATGCCTAGTTTCAATTCTATATACAACGCTAACAACAACATTCTATTTCACTGAAGCGATGTCTTTGGTCACGCACGTGATTATACACTTGATTTACATTCGTATTCCATGATACTATCAGTTATCAAATGTAATCGTCCTGAAAGAAACTTAGGTGGATCCCCATAATTTCCTCTTCATCTAAAAATTCTAACTTACATGAGTTGATATTGGACAATTATATTTCCCTTGGAAGACAATCTTCTCCAAGAACTTCTACTTCAAAGCCTTCATTCCAATTTGAAATAAAATCTTATCTCGGGATAACTGCAAGCTACGTAAAATTTCTATACAGTCGTCTTACTAGCGGTACAAAAATAGTAATTAAACGGACATCGGGGAGAAACGCAGCCAACCGTATTTCCGCGATAGTTAGGCAAAGCTATTTCAATATTCAATACGCAATATCTTTTTTACGAGTTGGTGTAAACCAAGTTAATCTCCTTATTTTCGATTTTAAGATGTGAGATAAAGTTTACTGATCTTTAAAAAAATTCGGTGTAGCGTGAGTCCTTACTTGACTCGTTGCTTTGGTTGTCTACAAGGGCAGTGTTGCGGACATTGCTTGTATGTGGTTTGTAATATACGCTGTGTTAGGGGGTGTCGTCGCTGTGAGCACATTTGTCCATTTCACCCGCTAGTCCCTCGGAATGGTCGATAGTAAATATCAGTAGATACTTATATAACTAGTGAATATCATTCAAACTTAAAAAGAAAGTCTTTTCATATCCTCATAATTAATATTATTGATAATAATTTGAATTTCGTATGAACGGATAAAATTACATGAAGCAAAACATATAAGCGAACGGCATTTTTTTCAATCAGATCTCACATAGCCGGCTCTTTGACCACGATCATCAAGCTATCTTTCCTAAATAGAGTGTTACGGCGTGACTCGAAATACGCCATAGTAACCCCCTTCACAGAGGAGGATCAAGGCAAAGCACTTCAAATTACAGACCCATCAGTCTCACCAGCACTTCAGTCAAGACACTGGAAAGAATCATCAAGAAAAGCATCATGGCATATGTCAGCCACGTCTCGTAAACCGTTAATGCCCAGCTCTTGCTACGCTCGGGCTCACGCTGTCGCTTGAAGTTTCTCAGAAACGCTTAGTAATAACGGACGAAAAAACCAAAACACCAATTGTTGACTCGAGGATTCTTTATTGTTACACCAACATATAAATCAAGTATGACTAAGGTCTGTGAACAAATATTACAATAATAAATCATAATATTACTTCTGACGATGTTTTGCTCTTCTTTCTGAACAGCGACCGATGAGACGATGACTGTCGTATTGATGCCTCCGCGAAAATTGGGGAAGTTGGTTTTGAGCAAACAACCATGAATTGATCGTTCAATCTTCAACTCCATTGACACTCCCCGGCAAAAAAGGGATCCAACCCTTTTTTCCTTCACGACCAATACACGTTGACTTGGATGCCATTGCGAGAACCTGGGTCACACGGACAGAGCTGAAATGGAAAACAAACAGAAAAGCCAACACACCACAAGCATACTCACAGAACAATCTCACACATCAATGACGACCTGCGCATTCCAGTTAAAGGCATCCTCTTGCAACACAATCACCACTTGCTGGAATGACTCTTGCAGAATGCAACGTGACCATGGCAGCACCTCACGATACTCTACGCACATCCTCTTATCTACTCACTACCAATTACCACTGAAATCGCTTGTCACTCATTCTGCCTCAATTCTAGTAACGATGACGTATGCGAGCCTCAGTCGTTTACACTCTTTCTCCCCGGCGTGTGGGACCACAGCTAACAATTATCTCCGTGTGCATTTCATTCTCAGCAATAGCCTCCCCGGCGTATACGCCCCATCTGCTGTCCTTAACATCAATCAATTCATTCATGGATGTAGAAGACTCGAAACAACTTCAGAAGTAATCACGACGAAAATTTTAACAAAATTATGCAATAACAACAAGGTACGAAAACAACAAGTAAACACAATGAATCCAAAAACACCAATTGATATGACACACCACACGTATATACAAACAGTACACACAAACTCGCAGATCATGTCTTGATGGAATTCCTTTGAAGAACTGTAGGACTTACAGCAGTACGCCTACAACCCTTCTCAGGTTGACGCTCTAGGTTGGAAAATCGTCGCAGAGTTCATTTGCTGACTTCCTTCTATCAGCTATATCCTCAAATCTGAACGGCAACACGCTCATGTCATTGTATCGTAGAATATAGATGACGAACAAACACACGACATATCTGGTCAACCAAGCGTAGAAACAGAGTAATTTACACCAAAGATAATAACATTCAAATAGTAACTTGAAACTAGAAATGCCTTTATTCGTGCAAGTCAATTTAACAATTACTCTCTCGTTTACACTTGGCTTATCCTCACTAAACTGACCATTGATATTCGTCCTTTCAAACGAACTGATACTAGCATAGTCATTGCACAAGATACTTGAGTTGATGGGCGTCTTTTTCATTGTGGATGACAACACCAACGACGACTGATTGATATCAGTTGATGAAGTTAGCGGTGGATCAAAAGCTGTTGTTGCTCGGCTTTCAGAAATTTGTCTACCTGCAAGACCACCACCACTGCTGTCTTTTACTATCAGCTCAGGTTTAGCACTAGCATCTGATGATAGGTGGGCTACATGCTGATCACTCACACTGACGGTCTCACAAATATCCATAACTTCTGCAACTGCATCTGCATTTATTTCTACTTCACGTTGTAGTTGTACAGAACCTTTAATTAACTTAGCAGTAGTAGGCATATCCCTCATCTCATCATGATCAACCAAAGACAAATCTGCAATATCATGATCATTATCACAAATGTTCAATTTATCGTCGACTTCATCATTTTCAAACTCTTTAATAACAGAAGTAGACAATTTTGGTTCCTCCTCACAAATCATAAAAGGTTTTATATCTTCACTCTGACTAGTTATACTTTGTAAACTTGTGGAGTCAGAACTGCATTCCGAAGCAGTAACTCTATTCTGTGACACTCTATTCAACAATGGCTTACCAGTTGCAACTACAGACTTCTTCACCGCACCGTTATCGTCACACAATTTGGAGTCAGGCCTGGAGTTTACATTTAGCTTATCACTGAACTTGCTCACTGGTTCACAGTTCACCTTTGTATGCACCTCTTGCAAACGTGTAAAACACAACCGTGTTTGTCTTGCATCTTGTAACTTATCTGTTGAGGATGTACTACGAAACCTGTTACACTCACTAGGTCTATATGCATTACTAGACATCATGGAGCCTTCTCGATATCCACCTCTCTGAGGCCTATTCGTCATCAATGATTGCGTTTTACCCTCAGACTGCTCTATTCTAGGGGTGAGATTCAATATACTGGCAAACTTGCTCATAGATTGATTGACACTATCTTTTACTAGTTTCAGGATATCATCAAACTTTGGCTCGATACCCTCATCCTCCATACGGGAGCTTATCTTCACCCACTTCCTTTGCAGTCGAGTAGGTAGGCGTCTTGCTATTACTTCTAGTATAAAACTCGAGTTGAGGTCACTCATGCAATTCATCGAAATCAATGCATTCTTGTAAATCAGCAAATTATCTAAAAACTCAGTGAGTGCCTGGGAGTCATCTTGAAGTTGACTGCCGTTACCTTTGACAGCTTCGTATACGTTCCTTACAATCATCGAAGGTCTTCCAAACCTTTGACGTAATATGCTCATAGCCTCATCGTAGCCCTCTTTCGGCTTCATAAACTTACAACACTGTATAGCTCTTGCAGCATCTCCAGTGCAATATCTCATCAAATACATTAACTTCAATTCATCATTTAATAAAAAACCACTCAACATGATCTCAAACTCCTTTACAAATTGTAAATAATCAGCCGGGTTTCCATCAAAACACCGTGGTTCAAATCTAGGGAGTTTGATGTTCCTATTATCCCTGAACGGCGAAACAGTAACATCAACCATGTCATGCTTAACATCAGACACATCGTTACAATTAACAGACAAGTCACCATGACTTACTTTCCTGTTTGCATCCAAGACGCTCTGTCCCTTCTTTGACCCAGGCATTGTTGAACTTGACCCAATTCCAAAAAGTTCCAGATATTGCTTGTTCAAAGAGGACTTGACCGGCACCAGGAAAAATGAACGGTGACTATCCAAACTGTCACCAACTGTCTAAATCCGCCAAATCTGTTTCTATCGTCAGAAACTGTCAGTCACGTCTCGTAAACCGTTAATGCCCAGCTCTTGCTACGCTCGGGCTCACGCTGTCGCTTGAAGTTTCCAGAAACGCTTAGTAATAACGGACGAAAAAACCAAAACACCAATTGTTGACTTGAGAATTCTTTATTGTTACACCAACATATAAATGAAGTATGCGAACTAAGGTCTGTGAACAAATATTACAATAATAAATCATAATATTACTTCTGACGATGTTTTACTCTTCTTTCTGAACAGCGACCGATGAGACGATGACTGTCGTATTGATGCCTCCGCGAAAATTGGGGAAGTTGGTTTTGAGCAAACAACCATGAATTGATCGTTCAATCTTCAAGTACATTGACAGCATATCTGGAAAATTGCAGCTTGTTATCTGGAGCACAGCATGGCTTCCGGATGAACCTCTCGTGCCTGTCAAAACTCCTCACTTCAAGAGAAAGCTAGGTGAAATTAAAGGACAACCGATACCCGTTGACGTCGTCTTCATAGACTTCAGATCTATACTCACTAATAGTATGTTTTGGTGTGTGATTGAATGCGGACAATTTTTTGCCGCTTGATTGCGCAGCTTCCTCTAACAGCTTTATATCGAGGCGCATTAGCCATATCTTCTAGCAACGAGTTTCAGGGGTGGATAACTGGGAGAAAAATATACAGGAGCACAGTAGATTCTTCAAAATCCGATTCTACTCTCTGTGGGTTGACACGAGGAAGCCTGCGGGCTGCCAAAGAGATTCATTGAATTTATTGGGCCCTTCGCAATCAGTTTGTTTAGCTGTGCTGATTGAAATATAGGGTCGATTACTGGATTTTCCAGGAACGGGAGCACGACAGTTCCTTTGTGGTGTGACTGTGTGACACTGCACCGTCTTCAGATTAACCTTAGTACCTGCACATTTCGGCAGTCGTAAGCGTTATGTTCTCACTTCGTTAGTTAGAGCGGTGTTAAAAGCTGCCTGGCCGCCAGTTTGGGTGGACCGGACTAAACATTCAGTAAGTAGTGCAGCCACGGCTCAGGTTTTGAAGGATAGACTGGTGCACATCAGTTGTAGGCGTTGTTCCCAATCGAAACCAGTTGGAAGTGGGCTGGTATTCGTTGGGGCGACCAAAATGATAT